TTCTACATCAGTGGTTCCCTAAGTTATTTTCCCAGATGTAGGGATGCAACTCCCATAATCTGATCAAATGACCATTCCAACTTGGCCTTCCAGGTCTGAAAAACAAAGGCATCCTAATAACTATGGACCAAGAAAAGGTCTTTTCACATGTCATTAAATCAGCTCTAAATCTATAGTGAATCAGCCTAATACTGGACTTCTCTGACCAAATTTTGTGTCAGACAAAGATGTACTAATATTATAGGAAGGAGGAGCATGGGGCAAGATGGTAAGTAGAGAGAGGAAGAGTTGATGAGCATTTTTTTTTTGAGTCAGCCAACTCATCCTCTGGCCACTACTGTATTACTATCAATTGATTTTGCACACCAGCATCATAAACTTGGACCCTGCGTGCCAGACTAAAACAGTGCTTATTTTGTGAAGGTTGAAGGTACCTGAAGTCAGAGAGTGACAGCAGGAGAATAAAATTTTCTCTTCAAATGAGAGAAGCAGCCCATCTTTCAGTTGTTGTAGATTTTTCAGGCTGTTTGGCCATGGTATTATTTTTTTCCTAACGGTTTCCGAAGGTTTTGTATTTTTTTTTTCCTAACGGTTTCCGAAGGTTTTTCTTCCTAACGTTTCACCAGTCTCTGTGCCTGGCATCTTCAGAGGACAGACAGGAGTTAGAACTCTGTCTCTCTCTTCTTTGGGGCAATTGGTAGGAAAACTCTGCTGTTGTTTATAAAACCTGTTACAGAAAATGTGTACCGAAAACACACTTCAGCGCAAATTAGCTCTGAGATAGGTAAGACAGGGAACTGGTATGAGTAGTTTCAGAGCTCCCTATGCTGCAGAATTGGCAGGGCATAGACCTGCTGAGCACCTGAATGGGAGATTAATGTCAACCTTCTGTAAGCCCCTAGCACAGTGGTCCCCAACCTTGGGCCTCCAGATGTTCTTGGACTACCACTCCCAGAAGCCTTCACCACCACCTCTGCTGGCCAGGATTTCTGGGAATTGTTGCTGAGCACCTGAATGGGAGATTACTGTCAACCTTCTGTAAGCCCCTGGTTTCTAGAACAGCAGGTGGTAATAGCAGCAATGGCAGCGGCAATATTTCTGGGAATTGAAGTCCAAGAACATCTGGAGGCCCAAGGTTGAGGACCACAGGTTTCTAGAACAGCATGTGGTAATAGCAGCAATGGCAGCGGCAATATCTGTATCTTAAGTATTTCAAGGGAGTTTTTCCACAGCTGCCAAACAAGACAAACAAGCTCCAATAAATACTTCACCATTACCTTCCTTCTCCTGTGTGAGTAGAATCTCAGCATGCACCCCACAGGTCTCTCTCTCTCATCTGCCTTATGCTCCTGCATTTGTGTTTGCTTAGATTTATTAGCAGTAATAGACCTGGCATGGCATTCTGCCTCAGCTTGTTTTTAAGCAGGCAATGATCTATTTCCAAACTAGGTATGTGACAAGGCCAAAGACCAAGCTGTTTATTCTCCAGGGAGCCCCATCATTGCCTCATAAAGCAGCAGGGCAGCTCCATTGCAACAATTATCCCATGCTGCACATTGTAGCGTATGATATGGTGACTTGTTGCAGGTGTAGGCACTGATAACTTTTAAAGAGAAGGATGTTCCTACATTTAAAAAATGTGGGATTAGGTGAGGGGATTCTAATAAAGAACTGGTTTTAATGTCCTATTCAGTCATTAGAAGAGTCCTCGTTTTCCTTAGATACCGCATGGCTGCTGTAATTAATTTGCTTTAGATATAGCTCAGAAGGTACAATCTAAACCAAATCTCTTGTGAATACAAAGTGGAAGTGAAGAACAGATTTAAGGAACTAAACTTGGTGGACAGAGTGCCTGAAGGACTATGGATATAGGCTCGTAACAAAAACCATCCCAAGCAGCAACAAAAACCATCCCAAAGAAAAGGAAATACAAGAAAGCAAAGTGGCTGTCCAACGAGGCCTTACAAATAGCAGAGAAGAGAAAGGGAAACAAAATGCAAGGGAGATAGGGAAAGGTATAGAAAATGGAATGCAGACTTCCAAAGAATAGCAAGGAGAGACAAGAGGGCCTTCTTAAATGAACAATGCAAAGAAATAGAGGACTGTACTGGACCAAACTTTCAAGACAATGTCTACATCTATTCACCTGGATTACAAACAGATTAAATTACATAGAATTAGCTTCCAGCATTCAGCTTTTCCTCACTTTTAAATCTGATGGCTTAAGCCTGCCTTTCTTTCCTGATCCCATGAAGCATAGATCGCTTTTGACAAGAGCAGGGTGACAGCCCCCAATTTGGAAGTGAGGTTCTCCCTGCTTTGGTCCATGAGCTACCTTAGTGTAATGAGCTCAGCACTGAGGATGTTGCTGTTGCTGGACCGAGTGGTGTGTTTCTGCTTCGTTCTTCCATGACACTTCACATAGTCAGAAATGTGGGCATCTTGTGGACCAGGATGGGTCACCTCATTCCAAACTTTAGAAGTGGAGCATCCTCCTGGCCCAGCCATGAGCTGTCACTGGCCAGGATGATGACTGAGCTTCCAGGAAACTTATCCAAGTGTTGCTTCATGCCTACTTGGCTCAAGGTGTTTCCCTAAGGGCCTTTTAATATGAATTCTGCACAGTGTATTACAGCAATTTCAACGAATATGTTTTACTACACCCAAAGATTGTCATCCGTTGGCAATATTGGTCCATGTTCTATCTCCCTGGCATCTCTCCCCCTCCCCACATGCCCCCTTAACACAGATAGCTGGAAAGACCTAGATCAGAACCAAATCTTCAAAACATTCCATAGAATTTTGCTTCCGTAGATTTGAAGGATGATGGCTTCAGTGTCAGCAGCCCAAGGGGATATACTGAGTTTAGACTTTTATATGTGAATGAGAGAGGAGGAAAAAAGAGGTTCTTGAGTGTAGATGGCAGGTTAAAGAGGTTAAGATGCAAAACATCTGAAAATAATTTATAATTTATAATTTAACCAAGTAAAGTGAGGGAGGTGCAGCCTTCCAAGGCAACCGATAGTGAGGAGTGCTGAGAACTGTAGCCCAGCAACATCTGGGGAGTAACACTGTGCCCACCAGTCCACCCACTGGACCAGGGGCAATGTGGGTAAATAGAGATTGCATAACCAGTGGAATGAGTCTATATAAACAACTTTCCTTCAGACTAAAATATTAAGTGCCTTTCTTTATATATTTTCAGAACCAGCTCATCCTGGGCGTTGTGGGAGTTGATGTGGCCCTGGATGACATCAAGAAGCTGACACCTCGGTACAATGTACGTAAGGACTAGATGTTGTTCCCTCAGAATTGGGTCTTTCCCCATTTGGGACTTCTACATGTTTGGCTATGATTTAAAAAGAAAGAGCAATAGCCAGCAAGCAAGGAAGAATGGGAGCCTCTCTGAAAATTAACTTGAGGTTTATCTTCACAAAATAATTCTCCTGATTAGTTTCTTTACTATAACTCCAAATTGTCTGCACCTACCTCTAGTTGAGGGTCATTTTCAATACGAATAGAACTGGGAATGCTTCTAGAATACCTTAGAGACATTTCTTCAATGCTCAGGGTGAGCTATGGAGGTAGCATAGAGTTATATAGACAGCATCTTTGATAGCGGTGTGGGAACAGTGATGTGATTCATCTCTTTCTTTTTTAGCTGTAATTTGTTTTCTCCTTTAAAAGACTTTTGTGTGTGTGTGTGTGTTCTCATCCAGTTAGGGGCAAACGGCTATATATTTGCCATTGACCTGAATGGATATGTTTTACTACACCCAAATCTGCAACCCCAGGTGAGTGTTCTTCTCTTCTAAACACCTTTGTCCACTTAACTATCATTAACAAAAGGGTGTCCACACTTTCACCCAGTTACCTCATGGCCAACACAAAATTAACACACTCTCTGTCTTTTCCTCTGTGTGTGTGTGTGTGTGTGTGTGTGTGTGTGTGTGTTACTACCTGCTGTCCTTCACCATTTTTCATTGTGACATGAATCTAGGTAAGTATCTTTAGACCACTATGATTCTTCCCCTTCAAATTTAAATGTAACAGGCAGTGATGTGATTTATTCTTTCAGCACAATATTCTTATTGTCATGTGACGTATGTGTACACCTACCTCCTTGTGGCTATTTGGTGTCATTTAAGTTGGATGGAAATGTTAATGGTGACACTTTGCCATTAGACTGAAAGCATGCTGAAACAGATGTCACAAGTAGAATATACCATCCACCCACACAAATTTTGCCATTGTTTGCCACTCGTTAGCCACTAACTGAATTATGAACATTATAACTGCTGAAGATCACATGAGTAGTCTTACGGAAGGTTTTACAATGAAATGCAGGCAAACATTTTGAACTAAGCTAGGATATTGCATTTCTAAATCAATATATGAAATTATTTTGAACCAATATATGAAATTTAGACTCTTCATTTCTGTTTTCAGCAAGTAGCAGATTCAGGCAGTAATGCAATATCTAGTTAGCAGGGAGTAAGTCCCACTGAACTCAGTTATGCTTATGTCCACATAGATTTGCATAGGATGGATCATCTCCATCAGCAACCACTTATAGACACAACCACCAACAACCCATCAAAATGTTGTGTCCATAACTTATGTGTCTCATACATACTTTGTGCATCTACTAAGCACTCATTTGTATGTTCGTGGATGTTATACCCAAGCGCCCTTGTCTGCAAGATGCCCATATATAATAAGGTGTCTCACCATTCACACACATTATGATGTTCAGAAGTTGTTGTATGCTAGATTCCTTGCTTCTACGATGAATACCATACAGCTCCATTAGTCATCCCCCTTAGCAACAATTGCCCAGACTGAAGGAAGGCAGCAGTTATGAGAGTTTCTATATTAGCCCAGTAGCATTGGAATGCTCTAGAGACATTGTTAAGAGCCTCATGGTCTCAGTGGCACAAGAAATAAGGGATCACGTATCTACAGGACTCCCAATTCAAGCAGTGCAGTGCTTTGCAGTGTGTGTATTGTGTTTAAATGAGTACAGTCAAATGATCACAACTGTGACCTCTGTTGTTTGTTCTCTGCTTATATTTACACAACAAGGTTGTTTAAACATGTGTGATAAATGATTACTGGAGAATTCACACAGATTGATCCTGCTCACTCAGGAACTGAATTCATCTAGTTTTCAGCTAATTATTCACCACTCCGGAGCTAGGGCCCGTTTGCTGCATTTAATACAGAGCCGGAAATTGTGTTCTCTTCCTTCACAAAGTGCTAATTGGCATGTCTCTCAAGAGCATGATGTATGGACTTCCTCTCCACTTCTGGCAAGTGTAGACAAGAATTAGCTGGATTCTTTTTATGAAATATTACTTCCTTTGGATATTGAACAAAAGAGAAGGAGTGAATGAGGAGCTCCAAGCTAATTTATCTCTGGGGAGGCTCTGCATCCATCAAGGTGGGGCAGGAAAAGAATGCTTCCAGCTTCAATACAAGTCAGATAAATCCATCATTGGAGGACTGACAGGAATTAGGACATTGAAAAATGGCATGGATCAAAGTAAGATATGTTTCATTGAGAGAAATGTGCAGCTCCATTCATCAGCATTATTATTGGGCAGGTGATGTGGCAGAGATGGGCAGAAGCTACACCAATTTCAGTCCCTCTCAGATCAATAACCATGTCTATTTCCTGGCAGTGTAGCACCATCACCCCCCCCCCAAAAAATCCTTTATTTTATGTGTGTTTGGCCTGGGCTGAACCAATTTTTGCACAAAAACCTCTTCATTGTTGTTGTTGTTGTTACTGTTGTTGCTGCTGTTGCTGCTGTTGGGGTTGAGGTTTTGGTTGGTGGTTCCTCTTACATTACCAGTTCTCAGTAAAGGTCTCTCTTGATACATAGATTGCAGCTTTCCAAACATTTGTGCATCTTACCCAGCTGTGAAAATGTGTCCTTTGTTTTTAAAAAATATCAGGCATTCCTCCCTTTGCTAGTCTGTAATGGATGCATCAATACAACATTAAAGGAAAGGTGGGGAGAATTGATACTTTCTGGGCTTTGAAGCTTTATGACAGGTAGATAAAGGAAGGAACTGAAAGTGATTGGTGGACTTTATGAAGTGATGTGATCAAATTCTTTCCAGTAGTAAGATTCTTTATTATGCCTGAACAAGAATACAGCTGTAATATTGTGCAGTAGAGCAAATCAGCATTCAACAAGACAATTCTAAAAGTGGGGGCACTCCAAACAAAAAATTATAAATTTGAAATTGAGATTAGGATTAGCATTACATTTGGCAAAGTTTAAGGAGCAGTCTCCTCTTGCTCTGTGCCAGATTTGGAGAATTTTGGACAAAGGGGGGTTTGGTTATGATTTTTTTTTAAAGTAAAACTGTCCCCTGGTTCAGAAATAGGCAACCCCAAATGACCACAGATTTAAAATAAATCATGTAAATTGAAAAGACAAATTGCTCATCTTGAAAGAAAATTGTTGGCCCCATCTGTTTTTTTTTTTTAAATTTTTATTTGAAAAGAATCCCACCTGCAGGGGCTGACATATTGATCCTCAAAAAGACATTTCTATTGGGAAAAACACAGACTTTGTTGTAACACTGAGCATGCCAGCAAGAGTTTCACAAAATAAGCAATTGTATACATTCTTGGGTGAGGGAGGAAGATATTTTGAGACCTTCAGGACAACTAAAGGCTACAGAAACAGAGTTGAATGACAAATTTTCTTCAAAGAGTAAAAAAAACTGCTTTGATTTAAAGAAAGTAATGGAGTGATAGTTCTCCAGAAAGAGGGACATTTTCCCATATATCTTCAAGGAATTAGTATACAATTGTGTAGGGCATATTCAGAGTATTTCCCCTTACCTTTGAAAAACAGGTAGCAGTTGTGTTTTGTTTTAGCACTTTCAGCAAACATTCAGTATTTTTGAGACCAAACAATCTCCTCACATAAGTTTTCAAAGGGGGAATCAGCTCCATGTCCGGGGCAATCTAAACTTTTGACTCTGTCAGTCAGGACACAATTAGCTGACTCGTAAAACATTTAACTCCTTTTTGGCCAATGAGGCTTATTAGAGCCATGATTGTGAAAATGGAGGCATAAAAAGAATATTTTAAAATGTAAAAAATACGGAACAAATATTAGGAAGCTCACTCATTTAAGCTGTGAACTTACTATTTTTTTGCTTTATGGCTAGGGACAGACTTACTTGATGTTAGTACTGCTTTGATGCCTATATCCCATCATAATCTCATGTCAAAGTCTCCATTCCACCCATCTTGTCACTGTACAATTGCCTGGTACTTTTTTAAAAATCCAAAGATGTAATGTGTCATCAAATCACTTTAATGTGTGGTAACTATGTGAATTAATTACTTCCAAAATGTTCTATTGTTAATAGCTCTGCTCAGATCTTGCAAACCAACAACAACTCATATTAAGTTGTTCTCAGTGCCTCCTTCCCAGAAATATCAATTTTTCCAGTAAATTCTGCTCAGGTCTTGGAAGTTAACAGCTGAGGATTCCTTTGTTGAATCAATCCATCTCATGATAGGTCTTCCTACTGCTCTTCCCCCTGTTTCCACAGCAATATTTTCTTCTGGTTGTTGTGGGTTTTTCAGGCTCTTTGGCCGTGTTCTGAAGGTTGTTCTTCCTAACAGTTCACCAGTCTCTGTGGCCGGCATCTTCAGAGGACAGCACTCTGTGCTCTGGTGCAGTTGGCTTGGGAGTGGACTTTCTTCATTGTCCCTCTCTTTCTTCACTGTCCCTCTTCTACATAGTGTGGATGGTTTTGGCCTTGGTTTCCAAGTCTTTTTTAGCTCCCACCCATCTGCCCCTTCTTTTTTCAAAAGGCAAGAGGACATATTTTGGAAAACATGCAAACAACATCTTTGTAGAGTAAGTATTTGGAAATTGGAAGATAGCTGTCTAGTCCACCTCCCGCAGACCAAGAATGGCAACATTAGTTTACCTGAGAGATTAGAGAATGTGAATGTTTCCCTGCTATCTGAAAGTTAGTGGCAACTGAACTTCTTTTATATTAAGCTAAAACATTTCACTACTCTTCCAAGTAGCCTCTTCAGCCATCCACTCATTTGGATAAGTAGCAAAATGCTTCAACCTAATAAGAAAGAAGTTCCAGTTGCCATGACTCAACTTCCAAATAAACTCACCAGGATGATGGAGAATCTTTACAGAAACATTTCTCTGCTATATGTGTTGTACTCACGCTTTCTTTTACTTCATCATTTCATGAAGTTCGAAGCAGTCCTTTAAAATATTTTGGCACACAGGGACTGCAACCACATCCCAGCTATTCTTGGTTCTGCTGTCCCTCATCAACCATATTATAGATCATATAATCATCTTCTGGGATCCTCTAGCACTGAGTAATTCTACATGAGGGAAGTTGCAGTTGGGTCCTTTGGGGAGAAAGGTGGGACAGAAATATTTGAAATAAATAAATACAATAGTAATAAATAAATTTGTGTGTAATGTATGTATACTTAAACCTCCATTTTAAAAATCTGGGAATTCAATTCTTGCTGAAAAACAGCCCTGACTATTGCTTTGTGTTTGTATGAAAAGTGGTTAACTAATGAAAAAAGGAGTAAGTTTCTGGGATTTTCCCCTGCTTGGTGCTTCTTTGTGAATGGTAGTGAGCCCAAAAGAATATCCTGTGGATCAGTGGTTCCCAACCTTGGGTAATCCAGGTGGTCTGCACAACCCTGGTGATGAAGGCTTCTATAAGTTGCAATCCAAGAACATCTGGGTTACCCAAGGTTGGGAACCACTGGGGCAGACCATTTTGACTGCTGACTGTCAACATTCAGGCTGCCCTTTGTTACGTAAAGTTTAGCATCGTTTTTGCTTTTTCATGCTGGCAGCATGGGCACAACATTGCACAACAATATCAGGTCATTCCTTGGCTTTTTGAATTGAGGATACAGAAGGACATTCCACATCCCTAAACTGAAAGGTTTTCTAAAGACTTGAATGTAGACTATTTTCTTTCAGAGAGAAATCAATATGAAATTATTATCTCACTTTTGTAGTTGAAGATTATTTGACATACAAAAACCTGTTCTGGCATTTCCAGGCTAAATTCTGACACAGAACAAAATGTTATTTGACATCTTCATCTGTCAGATTCTACCCCAAGTGCTATCTTGACAGCACTGATTAGAACAATCCAGTGGATGATGAACAAGATGGCAAACATCTCTGCTAAACCCTTGCTTCGTATATTTTTCCTGACAAAATGAGGGGGCATTTCTTAAAAAAACATTCTGTTCGTTTCTTTCCTCAACTGCAAAAAGTAAATCTCCCATCAATTCCCTAGTACTCGTAGGAACAGAAACATTTCCATAATGGCTTCAGCTTGGAAGGCTTAATATGTACTGGGTCCCAAATTGGTCCCAGAATACTGTGGCAATCTGGACCCCATTGTAAAGCAGTCAGCCCATGGAACCAGTGTGGAAATACTTCTACCCCACAAGAAGAATTGTTGTGGAATTTGCATATTGTAGCCTCCAGAAAATGAAGGAAGAAATATGTTTCCCTCCCTGGCATGGAGATGCCTTGGGACTTATGGAACAGTTTTCTTTTTTAATGTCCTGTATCTCTACCATTAAAAGAGACATGGTGGCGCTGCGGGTTAAACCACAGAAGCCTCTGTGCTGCAAGGTCAGAAGACCAGCCGTCGTAAGATCGAATCCACGCAATGGAGTGAGTGCCCATCGCTTGTCCCAGCTCCTGCCAACCTAGCAGTTCGAAAGCATGTAAAAATTCGAGTAAATAAATAGGTACCACCTCAGTGGGAAACAGCATTTTATGTCTAGTTGCGGTGGCCACATGACTACGGAAACTGTCTTTGGACAAACGCTGGCTCTATGGCTTGGAAATGGGGATGAGCACTGCCCCCTAGAGTCAGACACAACTGGACTAGATGTCAAGAGGAACCTTTACCTTTATCTCTACCATGTGGCAGAAAAGAAGACCTGTTCTTGCCTTCCTCTGAGCATCTCAGAAAGAAGGAGGTTATCTTACATACCTGAGGGCCAGAATTCTCTGTCTGTCTGTGTTTCTGAGTCTCTGTCGGTGTTTTTCCTTACTGTTGCTGAAAAAAAATGTTCCAATATGAGAATTTAAAATAAGGCAACTGGCCAGGATGTTTTCTTGTCCAGATGGGCAAAGAAACCAGAGCAAATGAGTACAGAAGGCACAACTTACCGATTTGGCACCTGTTTAGCATTACAAAGAAACTCGCTTCTCTAGGCTTCCTTGGGAACAAACCATTACAACATTCATTCCTTGCAACAGCTTTGAAGTTGTTCGTTTGTTTGCTTATTGTCATTTTCAAAATCAAGGAAAAGATTAATTAAAGGCTTCTGGACTAGGAACCTCTGACAAGGAAATTAACTCTGCATAGGAAGCACTATAGTATTACCACTAACACCACTACCCATCCCCAAAGAGACTAATTCTAAATAATACAGGTTCCAGGGGGAGGCAGGGAAGATATCATGGATCTCATGAATTCAGCCTCACATCTTTTGGTTAGCAGGATAAATAACTAGACAGCACTGAACTAGGTGCGTATATTTCTCTCCATGAGAACTGTCCTACCAAGTGATGAGCATAGCAATGGGTACTGGGTGGTGGGATCTCATATGGTCCATGTTGTTAACAACCCAGGTGTTCTTGGATTGCAGCTTCCAGAAACCCTGGCCAGCACAGCTGGTGGTGAAGACTTCTGGAAATTACAGTCCAGGAACGTCTGGTTTACCCAAGGTTGGGAACTACTGGTCTAGAACCTGGCTGATTCTGATATACATATGGTACAATAGATTTTTGCTCAGTTCAACATCTTTATTTTTCCATAAATTACAGTCCAGGAACTTCTGGTTTACCCAAGGTTGGGAATTACTGGTCTAGAACCTGGCTGATTCTGATGTACATATGGTACAATAGATTCTTGCTCAGTTCAACATCTTTATTTTTCCATTTCAGAACATCAATTTCCAAGAGCCTGTGACCCTGGACTTCCTTGATGCTGAACTAGAAGATGAGAACAAAGAGGAGGTAAGGGGTTCGATGGAGGTGAGGCCCCCTCTATTGTTATTTATTTGTCATTAAAGTTTTCTAATTCCCCCTGTATCCATGGACCTTAGGGTAAAAGCAACAGGATATGAAACTGGAATTACTATATTTTGCTGTCTAGTATAAAATCAGCAATGGCAAATCATCATAAAGGTCATGGAATCTGTAAAGTAACCAGGTTTTAACTTGGCACAAAAAAATTAGGCCACTGTCAGCACCAGCATGCTCTCATTTTATGCAGATGCACATATAACACTATTAATTCACAGCATGTGGCTAAAACCAAGGTCATACAACTAGATGTAAAGCCAAAGCTCATTGCAACAAAGTACAATCCACTATGGTTAGCTCTGCAGATATATGCCAGTATATGTCACAGAGCCCAGTGAATACCAACTGGTATTCCTTGGTAAACTGGATGCTGCCATTATTACAGGAGTCATATAGTGATGGAGATAATTGGTAGTGGCTTCTGCACATGCACACACATAATTAATTTCTCACATTTCCATGTAGTAAATCTTATGTACCGTATATTTCACCATCATGTGACAATGCCTATTTTTCTACATGCCAAGTAATCTACCACCATACGAAGACTACTTCTCATATGTATGATCAATGAATGGTACTACATTATATCTAAGGCAGAGAGATGTAATTTGCTGCAGAAAAATGTTATCTATGTAGGAACTGGGCAATAACATAATTTTGATTTCTATGGCACATTTCATAATATTGAACATATTTTTGAGACACAAAGGGAAGAAGATATGCCCAATGTTCATGTGCTAAGTTTGATATTGAGCAATGCAGCACCATTAATTATAGGGCATTTTGGAGGTCACTCATTTGTATGATTGCCATAAGTCAAATATGCCTAGAAGGCACATAACAACCACAATTATGTACAGTACTTCCTTTCATGTTGCTCTTTTTTCCCTTCCAGATCCGAAGAAGCATGATAGATGGCTTTAGCGATCAGCGATACATCAGGACTCTAGTCAAGTCTCAAGATGAGGTAAAACATTCTAATGCACTTTGTGGAATTTAGCGGGGGAAACAGAAGGATGACCTCTCTGGCAAAAATATGTTGCTAGTTGTGTGTGGAGAGGGGAGTGTTGTTTTTTATTTTTCTCACTCTTGTTTGTAGTTAGCTGAGTAATAACTAGGGTAAAGAAAAATGGATTCAGCTGAATATACCCTTGGAAATAAAACTCAAGACATCCGTCTTCTGAAAATTTCACAGCAAGGTGCTGAATTTGCAGACACTCAGTACGGCACTGCTGGCGTGATATGTCTGGTCTCTCTCACTGGGATGGGACTTGGAGGCACTGTTCTGCTTGGGCTAAAATCCTTCCTGGAGGGGAGAACTCGGAAGGTGATGCTGGCAGACTCCAGCGTCAACACTCTGGCCACTGGGCTGCGGGGGTCCCTCAGGGTATCTGTTTTGTCCCCCATTTTATTCTACATCTACATGAAACCACTGGGAGAGGTTGTCCAACGTTTGGGGGTTTGCTGTCACCAGTATGTGGATGGCACCCAGTTCTATCTCTCCTTTGTCTTTTAATGATGTAACCCACTTTGGGTCCTCTGTAAGGGGAAAGGTGGGGTAAAAATATTTCAATTAAAGCAAATAAATAAATAAAATATAGAAGTTTGCCAGAGAGATTCCATAAATCTTGTCTCCCAGGCCTTTCGACATCAACTTGAAGTGTCAAGGAAGGCCTTCTAGAGATATAAGCCGAACTGTTATCAACATGCTGATGATGCCCAACTCTTTTTCTCTGTTTGATTGGATTTGGATGAAGCTGTGGAAGGGCTGGACTGATACTTGGAATCAGTAATGAATGGAATGAGGGCAAAGTTCAAGCCACTTAGGATAGAACTTGTATTGTTAAATGGTTCCAGTTCACCTGATGGTTTAATCTGTTTTTGATGGAAGACGGTATCCCTGAGGGGTTACTTCATGGCCTGAGACAGGTGCTTTTGAATCCTGCTTCAGATCAGTGGATGTGCCATAGCACACCAGTTTAGGCTAGTATGCCAGAGAATATTCGGCTCCTGTCATCCATCCGTTTGTAACCTCTAGGTTAGAATACTGCATTGGATGTGGGACTGGCTTTGAAAATATCTTCAATATTAGTATGAAATCCAGCAGCTCACTTATTAGCCGATACTGACAAAACCAAATACAGCGGTGCCTCACTAGACAGTTACCCCGCATGACAGTTTTTTCGCTAGACATTGGCTTTTTGCGATCGCTATAGCAATTCGCAAAACAGTGATTCCTATGGGGGAATTTCGCTGGACAATGTTTGGTCCCTGCTTCGCAAACCGATTTTCGCTGGACGATGATTTTGACAGCTCCCTCCGCGCTCGCAAACAGGTGTTTTCAGGACCTAAGCTTCACAAGACAGTGATTTAAACAGCTGATCGACGGTTTGCAAAGTGGCTTTCCTATGGCCAATCTTTGCTAGACAACAACGATTCTTCCCCATTGGAACACATTAAACAGGTTTCAATGCATTCCAATGGGGCAATGCTTTTCACTAGACAATGATTTCACTAAACAGCAATTTCAGTGGAATGGATTATCATCATCTAGCAAGGCACCACTGTAACCTGTTATTTAATTTGCATTGTTGTTTTTATTATTTCTTTGTATGATGCCTTGACCATTTCACTAAAGTCCAATCATTATTTATATGATTAATAAATACATTAATTACTATTATTGATAAATGTAATTAATAATGAATGTGTCGTGTTTTTCTCTCCACCTTGGAACTTCTAGCGATACATAGATAAAGTCCACAGGACATACACCTGGGCACCTATTAAAAGTACAAACTACAGGTAAGGAAAGAACAAAGAATAACAAGGAGGAATGAGTTCTTCTGTCCTCCTCAGCTGGGCCCTCACCTGGGAGATGGTGATCAAAAGGATCCTTCAGGGCAAAGTTGGAAGCCAGTGGGGATCTCAGGTGTTCAGAAGGGGTAGCAGTGGTTTGAATAAAGAAAGGATTCTTTTATAATTGAGAATGGGGGTAAATGTGGTTCATTCATTCAGTGCACTGAGCATAATAGTGCACCTAATTCATGAACAGTCCTGTTGTACATTGCATGCACATTGGAATATGATTTCCACAGGACTTCTTCTAAACCCCATTTTAATAATATATCCTTCACTGGAGCTGCTTGTACTGAGAAGCCAACGTGGGATGCATAATATGAAGAATAAGTTATCCAGCCAGCTTAATAATTGCATGCTTACAAATCAATCAGAGCAACCCCTTCCAGAGTTTCCTTGGTAAAGAATACACTGAAGTGGTTTACCATTCCCTTCTTCTGGGGTTGCCCTGGGACGATGCAATTTGGCCAATGGCTACACAGGTTGGCTCTTCTTCCAGAATTGTAGGATTTTTAGGAGGATATCTGTAGAACCTTTTGGACAGTTTTGAAGAGTAGTTCCCACACATAGAGGTACACTGGATTTTGTGTAGAGAACTGAGATTCATGGGAAATTACCCTTACAGTATTTTCCAGACCAAAACCCACTGCAGTATACTAAATGGAGTAAAGGATTAGGATTCAGGAGGCCTGGGTTTGAAGTGCGGTATACTAAGTGGAGTAAAAGTTTAGGATTCAGGAGGCCTGGTTTGAATCCCAATTCAGTTATGGAACCTCTCTGAGGATGTGGAAATTGTAAAGGTAAAGGTTCCCCTTGGTGCGGTATACTAAGTGGAGTAAAAGTTTAGGATTCAGGAGGCCTGGTTTGAATCCCAATTCAGTTATGGAACCTCTCTGAGGATGTGGAAATTGTAAAGGTAAAGGTTCCCCTTGACATTTAGTCAACTCAGTTATGGAACCTCTCTGAGGATGCGGAAATTGTAAAGGTAAAGGTTCCCCTTGACATTTAGTCCAGTCATGTCCGACTCTAGAGGGTTGTGCTCATCCCCATTTCTAAGCCGTAGAGCCAGTGTTTGTCCAAAGACAGTTTCTGTGGCCAGCGTGACTAGACACAGAATGCCGTTACCTTCCCACTGTGGTGGTACCTATTTATCTACTCGCATTTTTACATGCTTTCGAACTGCTAGGTTGACAGGAGCTGTGACAAGCGACGGGAGCTCATTCCGTCTCGGGGATTCGATCTTACGACGGCTGGTCTTCTGACCTTGCAGCACAGAGGCTTTTGCGGTTTAACCCTCAGCACCACCATGTCCCTTACAGAAATTGTAAAACCACTCTTTAAACATTTCACTTACTTTGAAAGCCCTATTAGGTTCCCTATAAATCAGTTCCAACTTGACAGCATAGAACAACAACAGACCATTTATTAACAAACTCTGTTTGTTTGTTTGTTTGTTCATTCATTTGACTTTTATATTGCCCATCTGACTGCAAGGACACTCTGGGCGGTTTATTATATAATAAAACGAAATTATAAAACAGTAACACCAAACATTTAAAAAAATCAGACATAATAGTTATACAAAAATAAAAATCAAGACCAAAATTACAATATACCATCGTAATAACAGAACACAAATATAAATACAAACAAAACAAAAATCAAAATCAATTTAACAGGAAAGATAGCAGGGCAAAATAGATGTTATCACAATATAATCTCTGGAAAAGCCTGTCTGAAAAGCCATGTCTTAAGAGATCGTTTGAAGGTTCCAATTGAAGAGAGCAGGTGGATTTTGGGTGGGAAGTTGTTCCAGAGGTGGAGAGCAACTGCCGAGAAGGCCCAGTTTCTATCTTCTCTTTCCAGGCCTCTCTTGGGGTCAGTGTTCTCAGCCACCATGCCTGGGAAGATTGAGTAGGTTGGGCAGATCTCATTGGAAGGAGGCGTCCTGTCAGGTATCAAGATCCAAAACCATTAGGGTTTCTATGTCAATGTCATCACCTCGAAGCTGGCACAGGAACGGACTGGTAGCCAGTGCAAGGCAATCATTGTAGGGGAGATATGCTGATATTTCTTCACTCCACTCAGCAATCTTTCCACCATATTCTGGACTTGCTGTAGTTTCTGTAGCAGCCTCATGGGTAGCCCCATGTAAAGAGCATTACAGTAATCTCAAGACTGCCAGTGCATGGACTAGCATAGTGAGGGACCTGGTGTCAAGGTAGAAACACAGCTGGGCAATCCACTTTAGATGGAAATAGGCGGAGCAGACCACAGATATTCTCTGCGGCTCCATTAATAGTGCTGGGTCCAGAAGTATGCCCAAACCTCATCTTTTGTGGAAAGAGTAGCCCCACCAAACAAAAGGGAGGCCCCCCAACCCACAGACACTAGGTCCATCCACTCACAGGATCTCCGTCTTGTTCAGGGCCAGCCTCGGTCTATTATCCCTCATCCATCGCAGCACAGCATCCAGGCAACACTCAAGGGACAGGACAGCAACCACTGCAGAAGAAGAAAAGGAGAGATAGAGCTGAGTGCCATCTGACAGCACAGCATCCAGGCAACACACAGGACAGCAACCACTGCAGAAGGAGAAAAAGGAGAGATAGAGCTGAGTGCCATCTGTATATTGAGTGCCATCTGTATATTGATGACATGAAGCTCCAAAACTCCTGATGACTTCCCCCAGGGGTACGAGGCCCTTCCCCAAAGGCCTCATGTAGATATTAAACACAAAAGGGAGATTATCAACCCCTGTGGGACTCCACAATTACCACATACCACAATCTCTACATGGTATGGAACACACTATTAACAGGACCAATAGATTATTCATTCTCAGCAATTGAATGACATTGTAAAGAACGTGCAATGTGGACTGAGATAGGGGATCATTGTCTTGGCCTGAGATTGTTGTACCGTCAAGTCAGAACCAACTTATAGCTGACCTAATAGGGCTTTCAAGGTAAGTGAGATATTTAAGGAGTGTTTTTAACAGTTCCACTCCCCCAGTTAGTTTCCATGGCTAAACAGGGATTCAAACCCTGTTCTCCGGAGTCCTATCCATCACTCTATCCATTACATCACACTGAGAATCCAGAAGATGCTTGAGCATCTCTGTCATTGAGAGACTAATGTTGTGTGTTTAGTACCATGTACAGAGGATGTAAAGAAATGTAGTAAGGAACAGTATAATCCATTGGTTCCTGAGGTGAAAATAATGCATATTTCTCCGCATTCAAATTGTAATGCAAATTGGGGGGGAGGTAATTTTTATAGCACCAGGTGACTCTGTAGCTACTTTTGGAGCTCTCCAACCTGAAAAAGGTTGGGAGAGGCTGCCATCTAGTGCACAATTGTTTGCTGCAAAAAGACTTAATCCTCAAGGATATCCTGATGTAGTTGATTTAATTATAAGTAGTTGAATAACCTAGCGGTTCGAAAGCATGCACATGCAAGTAGTGTTTATAGGGACCACCTCGGTGGGAAGGTAACAGCGCTCCGTGTCTAAGTCGCACTGGCCATGTGACCACGGAAGATTGTCTTTGGACAAAAACGCTGGCTCTATGGCTTGGAAACGGGGATGAGCACCGCCCCCTAGAGTTGAACATGACTGGACAAAATTGTCAAGGGGAATCTTTACCTTTACCTTAGTCGAATAAGCAGCTGGCTAGATAACTCTGTGAGCTGGGTATCTGGCTGCAGAGCCAGAGGCTGGGAGTTTGATTCCCAGGAGAAAAGCCAGTGTGTGCAGCCTTGAGCAAGCTGCACAGTCCCAGGGCGTTGCTAGAAGAAGAGAATGGTGAGCCACTTCTGTGTCTTTCATATTTGGCAAGGATCCCCATAAGTCAACTTATCCCCATAAGTCAAAATCAACTTATGGCTCAATCGGCCCAATAAATTATCAGACCTAAGCATAAACATGATAAACCTAAACCAAATAACTTGTCCAAGAAAGATATTATTCCTATAACATTGCTCCAGTTACAAGCTTTATGGATCTCAGGATGACTGGGGGCCATCGGAATAGCTGATGGATCCAGTCATTAATGTAACTCATTACAACCTTCATCCTCCCCAACTTCTTGGGTTCCCCAGGCAGAGGGCTATGCTTGTGTGTACCTCCAGTAATGTATGGTCAGACTTCTAGTGCCCTCCCATGCTCCTGTAGTTAATGCTTCCTATGGGGGAGCCTCCATGCAGGGACTCTACCACTGTCTGCCCTCCCATGCTCCTGTAGTTGGTGGAGCCTCCATGCAGGGACTCTACCACTGTCCTGCCATGTAAGGAAGCACATTTTAGATACCTTTCAAAAGAGAAGGGTGTGTGTTCCTTCTTTCTGTATGCTAGTCATTAGCTAATCCAGAAGAATAACTCAAGACAACAACATCAGTTGGCTTTTTGGTGGTCACCAGCAGCTGCTGTGTATTAGATAAATATTTACTGTGCTGACTATCAAGTGTTTGGGCATAAGTTCTAACTGTGTTCCATTTCTTAAACAAACAAATGCCAGTATGGTATTTGCCCGTCTCTATTAACTCCTCAAGAACTGGGCTAGCTGGTCAATATGCCTCCCGTCTCTTTTCCTTGAGTCTTAAGCCATTTTTCTCTCTCCAAATGGGTTAGATTGCAACTTCCATCATATTCAGTAAACATGGCCATCCACCATGTGGATGTGGGGGGGGGGGGAGG